ATTTACGTAACTTTTTACACGACGAGAAATGGAAAATAAAATAATCTACGTTGCTTTAACACTTGAGTGAGCATCGTAAACAATGAGACTTGCACAAGATCTTGCAGACCACTAATATTTATACGTATTATTATTACTATAGTATTGTTTGCTTTTATGAAAAATGTATAAAATACATGAACATACTATTTTCAATAATACTTTGCACGTACAACAATTTTTGTACCGAAAAATATTGTCGCGGTGAATACCAGTCGTTTCTACGAATATTTTAGAATGATCGCACAACGACTGTGAAAGATATCAAAGTATTCATGTGTTTTCTTATCAGATTCTGCATGTCATCTTTGTAATATCAAATTTTACTTTCATATGAATGTACCACCAAACGATAAGAAGTTTATTATGCTTCAACTCTCGTTGTAATTAGACAGCGGATTTTTTTGTGCAAACTCGTATTTTTGAGAATGTAATTGAAAGACCGTAATTGAAAATTCAATAGAAAATTGTTTGAAACGTGCACTCTGTGCAATTCTGCATTTTGAAATTTTCTGTAAATGCATAAAAATTCGCAGTCTGGTTAGAATATATTTCCGAGACGCGTAGCGACCATACCAGTGTACCATAGTCTCGATTCATTCACTTGTTCACGTCGGACGATTCAAATTTGGAATCTCTTACGAAGAACGATGCACGCGTGAGTCGTTTGCTAATTTTCACCTTCGATTGTGTTTCCTACAACATTATGCTATATTTGTAATGAAAGAAGCTTCGTTATTCTAAACGTAATCCACCAAGTTACCCTACGCGCGAAATACAAATATAAAGTTGACATCAGTATTGGAGTACAAGGTCGAGACTTCTGCAGGCTATATCTCGCGTTGCTGATTCACGACGCGAAAAAAAAAAAAAAAAAAAAGAAAAGAATTCTCCTCGATCACCATACTTAACTCTGCCGCAGTCCTATTCTTCGCATTCTTTTTCGCGAATCCTTCCCTCATTGTCATTACGTACGTAGAAACCCACAAACCTGAAGAGCAGGGAAGATGATCGGTCTGAGCGTATCAACGTTCGATCGGATTGTTCGAACACTCTGTAATAGAGGGAAGGAGTGAAATTTTTTTCGGGGTTACGTAACATTTGCCAACGGCCTGTTTGCGAAACACGGAATTCATGCTGCCATCTGTCGACGTTGTCGATTCCCGATCGCGTATGTGTGCGCAAAAGTCTGTCTCACTTGCTTACGTGACGTCCGCGAGTCCTCCTTGCATACGTCTATTTACTCGATACTTATTCATCTCGATCTTTTTCTCTCTCTCTCTCTCTCTCTCTCTCTCTCTCTCTCTCTCTCTCTTTGTCTCTGTCTCTCGTCGTTTCATTTCGTTTCGTTTCGTTTCGTTTCGGTAGCCAACGATCCGCGGTTGGCAATTTACTTTCGGCCGCGGCGCCTCCCAAGGCCAAACGAAAGTTCGCTCTGAACCAAATCCGATGGAATTTTTTATCTGTAGTATGTACTTATCGGGGACGCCCAGGTCTAGCTGCTTGTTTTCGCCTTGTGCTATTATCGATGATGAACTTGAGGTGACCTCGAAAACTGCGCAACAGTGAGAGCGCGGGCGTGAGGAAGACGGATGTACGACAAAGAACGAGAGAAAGAATGAGAGAGAAGGTATGAGAGATGACGAGGGGCTAGGAACGAGAGTCAGGGAGGGGCTGTAAAGCCAGAGAGAGAGAGAAAGAGAAAAAGAGAGGGGCGTTCACACTTTCGCTTTATATCATTTGCTGTCATGGCTCTTTTCTCTCTCTCTCTCTCTCTTTCTCTCTGTTTTTTTCCTTTTTTTTTTTTTGCAACACTTTCCGAAAGCGATAAATCTCCTCCTCTTCTTCCGACAAATTTCCTCGACTTTCGACTCGTCACGTCCCATCCTTGTGCATCTCTTGACCTTTCTCTCGATAGATTCGACATTGATGTTTCGTTCTTCTTCTTCTTTTTTTTTTCTTTTTTTTTTTTTGCACGCGAGTTACGTAAGAGCAGCGTCGAGGAACCGGTTACGTGATTTTCGGCGATATTTCTCGCGACCAGAGGAATCGAAAATTCGGAGAGGGGGATCTCAGTTTACGTGCCGCGAGGAATGAATCGTTTGATCGTGGGAGAGGCGTAACGCGGTTCGAGACAAGGTGAAGGTCTACTCACTACTTGCTGCTTAATTCATTGAGACGCTTTAGTTTCGAGCGCCGCCGCTGGCCTCCGACGATGAACGAAGTCTCGTCGTCGAAGAAATTCGCCTGCCGAGCTCGATTGCCTCTTCCTCTCCTCCGCTCTCTTTCTCTCTCTTTCTCTCTCTCTCTCTTTGGCTGTTATCAGTAGCGAAAGTTCGATCGACGAACGGTTCCGTGCGATTGATCGCGTTGAGAGAAAAAAAAAAAAAAAAAAGAAAAACGCGCTGCCTCGTCGCGCGAGAAAGAACGCGCAAGAACGTCGCTTCTCTGTGCTCGATGAATTTCCTAAATTCGTACGTATTTGCACAGAGGCGACGAAAGAAAGTAGCTTGCGAATTGGAATTATTTTGCTTAAGATAGTCACGAGAAAAATAGAATGAGCCTTTAATTACAAGCCAACTCGTGGCTATTCAGTTGTTAATTTCAACGTTCATTCGCCATCGTATTCTTTAAGATTTGGTTTAATGTTGGAATTCCTAACGAGAATTCGCAAGTTAGCCAAAAATTGATTCAAGATAGACACACACACACATACACACAGTTTATGCGTGTTCAATTCTTGACAATAATCACCGCTCTCTATACAACTTGTAATTACACGTGCGTAATAATACATCAGCCAAATTGATTCAATGTAGGTAATAGATACAGAGCTTCTACGTATTCTATCCTTGACAACTTGCAATTGACTACTTGTTGTCTCTGTACGTGTTGTCAGTGTGTTCTATTCGTTCTTATTGAGCAAAATGTATCTACTCTTTTGTACCGTGTTGGATTAACTGATTGGTTAAAGAGCGTTTTTGCAACATTCTCACAATAACCGCTCAAAAGTCAATGTTTGTCATGTTGTGTCGCAAGCGTGCGACGTGCCTGAGATATCGTGACGAGCTAGTCACAAGCTGTACCTAAGCACCAGGCCATTACATATAAAAAATAGTGACGCATACGGTGCGTCGATCGGTGCGATTCAGAGAAGTAAATTCACGTGCACCGATGACGCACACACGCGACGTGATGTATTTTCTTAACCTTCTGCAACATCGCGCGACTCGAAAGCTTTCGTACTTCACGTAGCCACAGTTTGAAAATACTCGCGACGATCACGAGTTTCGAAACTTTGGACTGAACGAAACGAGCGAACGAAATTCTGTGTCGTGGAGGAGGGTTGGCAAAAATCATCGTCCTGCCTCAGCGTGCGTTTAATTGCCACGGATTGTACCACAGGTGCGGAAAAACCGTCGAGAGAACGGTCGTTCCAAATTTCTTTGATCATTGAAAGTGTCAAGGCTTCCGGAGCCTCCTTGACTCCTTCGTCCGAATACGGACGTGTAACTTGGACAATATAACAGCTTGTTCCTGACTAAATGCGAGATCCAATATCCGAGACGGAGAAGACTTATCGTTTGATCGCAGTGATTTCGCGAAACGCGCAACCGCATCGGGATGGAAAAAGGGCCGCGGTCGAGGAGGAGGTGGAGGAGGTGGATGAGGAGGAGGAAGAGAAAGAGGAAGAGGGGGAGGAGGGTAGTTCTTCCTGGCGTGTCCTCCTTGCTTCGCAACCCCCCGTCTTCTTCGCCTCCCCCCACCACTGTCCACGTAACTCTTTCAAAAGTTCGTAAGACTCGCGTAACCAATCCGGAAGCTACTTAGATTTTTCTCTCCCCGCCGATCCCTCGGCCCTATCCTCCTCCAACCTTTCTCTCTGCTCTCCTCTTTACAACCCCTTGGCCCTCCCTTAGTCGTACTCTTCTCTCTCTCTCTCTCTCTCGCGCTCTCTCTCTCCGCTGCCTGTTTCATAGTCGCGGTGGTAGCGAGCTATCGATCGCCGTGGCTCTCCGCGCTTAGAGTCAACATCAGTCATAATACAGCGCAACGGCATACGGGGGTTATTAAGAATAATACGCATCCTAGGTATATATCCCCTTCCCAGCACCACGGAAAAACGGGGGAAGGAGCCGTCGTACGTGGGGGGGTTCCGTTGCTAGGGTAACCGGCCTGGGTAAAATCCCGCAAAGAAGAAGCATCGCCGGTTATGTTCCTCTGCTCTTCTTGCCTCTTACTCTTACTCTTTACTCCTGTGTTACAACTACTACTACGACGACGACGACTACTACTACTACTACTACTGCTACTACTATTACTACTACTACTGGATGCTGCCTGCTGCTGCTGCTGCTGGTTCCGCTCTTCTCCTCTCTCGTTGTATCGACATCTCATCCTCGCGGACGTTATACTGGCTTTTATGAGACGATGAATGTACCACTCGCCCTATCTTCTTCTCGAGCTCCCTTAGCCCACCTTTCAACCCTCCCTTCTTCTCCCTCCCTTCTGATTTCTCTCCTCCGTCCTCCGTCTCGCTTGGTTTTCTTAGTTCTCGCGTTGCTCGCGATTCTTACCTCCTCCTCCTCCTTCTCCCTCTTCTCCTCACAGCCCGACACGGATGGAAACGATTAACAGCGTGCCCGGTATCCCTCCCCCGTCGGTCGTTTAAAACCAGGTGCCGTGTTTCTCTTGATTTCTTCGTTCCTTTTATCATCCTTCTCACACGACGAGTCACATATACATACATATATATATTATATATATACATACGATATACATATGTAGATACATGCGTGTATGAAGCTTCTTCGGTGATCGCTCGCGACGAAAGAAACCAAGATCGCTCGCCGAAGATGATCTCGTCGCGCCCGTGAATCGCTGGTGTCACGATCGGGAGTCACGAACGTCCCGGCTGACATCTCGACTGGACTCAACAACCCCCTCCTCTTTGGTTGCAGACCGGGAGGTCGCCGAGGAGGACGGGGGTTGGCAGTCCGCTACCAACGGAGACAGTCAACGGCAAAGCAACGGCCAATCGTGCCAAAACGCCCTACCGGCGACTAGCCAGTGCGAGATGATGCAGGCTACTACCCATCAACAGCAACAGCAGCAAGAACTTCCGATTATCGATCTGTTAGACGACATAAACGATCAGATGCAGATCGTGCTGAAATCGGAGCCGCTGTCGCCCAAGATCGACGAGCTCGAGTCGTGTCTGCTCAACGAGCAGATTGATCTGCAGCCGGCAGATCGATTGCCAAGTGGCAATGCCAGCAACGGCCAGCAAACGCGTCAGCTGAACGACGGCAACAGCCACAACAGGCAGCCTGTGCATCAGCAACAGAGGGGTGGCACGTTGAACGAAACGGTCCCGTTCGCCGATCTTCGTTGGCTGACGCAGAACGGGAACGCGCAGCAACCGAGGCCGAAGCTTCGCGAGGCGTCGAGGACGCAGGTCCTGGACCAAGAGATGAAATACTCTAGTCGCTCCATCAGCGGTACATACTGTAGCTTCTGTCAGAAGACGTTCTCGCGAGCGTGGTCCCTCCAGAGGCACCTGGCGGACACGCACTTTTACGTGCCGCAGTCGCTGTCCTGCGACCAATGCGGCAGAAGCTACAAGTCGAGGAACAGTCTGGTCAGTCACAAGAGCCAGTACCACGCGAGAAAGGAGCGAAAGGAACACGAGGAGCAGTGCGAGGTCACGTACTGACCGACGCGCTGGATGGTTTAGTGACCGAATTTTCGCGCATCGGAGGTCTTTCGCATCCGGAGGGACGGCGAGAGACCGCGCGCGTGTGTGATCTTCACTTCAATGGCCATTGATCGCCGTTCTCTTCTCCGACGCATGAGAAAGCAAAGAGACACGTCTACGCGTCTTCGTTCCAGCTGATTCGCTGCTGATTTTCTTTTTTTCTTTTTTGTTTTTTTTTTCTTTTTTGAAGCTGATTTCTTTGTACATACGTACCAAGTAGTTCGTATCTTACCAAGTAGTCGTTTACTCCGCCGTTTCGTTCGCTTACCGACGAAACGCCGCAATCCTAGTCTTCTGACCGTGAAACGAGTTACCTCGATGCACGCCAAAGAAAGAGGTGCCATCGCACGTGCCATCGGGTTTTTCACCACCTACGCACGTTACCTCGGAGAATTCACGCGAAAGTCCCTGCGCGAGTTCCCTCTCGCGTCACGCGCGAACGCGCCCGCTCTTCCAATAAAATAAGTTCCGCCATCTGGACTAGTTTCGCGCCAAGTTCACGGCTCGGGCGAGCGTCTTCCCACGGCAAAAATCGATACGATTCTCGTCCGGTACGAGTGTGCTCTTCCTCATCTACCCCGCGGGAGTCAAAGGGGTAGTTTACCCGCTCCGGCGCGTTGCCGACGATAACGTCGCAACGACCTCGCGTCGATCAGCGCCACTGGTTCGTGTGAATCGTGGCTCAGTTGGAATTCAAGTGGCCGCGTACGCTTCGAATTTTCGCCGACAGAGCGGTTCTCTTTTTTTCGGTACGGTATCTCGCGGAACGTTCGCGCCAAGGACGGATCTATTTATCGGCCGATTGGACTATAACCCATCTATCTGTGGGCTTTTGAAAAACAATTTTTCAATTTCGATATACGGTTCGAGAGACTGGTTTTTTTTTTTCTCGTATCGTTTGTTCGTATCGTTCCGTCCCCGTCAACTCCTCGTCGTCGCCACGCGTCTCTGCAACTTTCTCATGTACAGTGTCATGTACTCGCGTGTCGCGACCGTTTTCGTTTCACATAGTTCACGTTACTCGACGTCGTTGTCACCTGTCGCGAGAACCGAATTGCTCGAACGATCGTGGTTACGCTGGCGCTGTAACGACTGGTCACTTCTTCTGGTCGCAAGTTTTACCAGGGGCTGGCAAGTTGGAGTTTCACTGAAAATTCGTCTTTGGAATTTAAATTGTCTACTAATTATTTCGCTGGATCTATGAATTGTTTGAAGTTTGTATGAAAAATGGTCGACGGATTATGGTAACGTCGAGCGTTGTTATCCCTGAAGGTTCAAGAATTTACAGACAGTTCCAGACAGTCATGGATTATTGAATTTGAAAGTCGCATCATCCCGCATGACAGTCACGTCACTGATGTTGATTAAAAAAATGTCACGCGACACAGGTCGTTACAGCGTTGACGCACACCCGCGAAACCTAACTGTAATTACCCTAGTAATTAGCCTGAATGTCGTTAGAAATGAATTTAAAGAAAATAAAGGAGAATACGATTGAACGAGAGAAGGAATTGTTGTTTCACTGACAGCTACCAACGTCGAGTTGTTCAGGGAGCTCGATCCCCTCCTCCCCCGATCTCATTAAGCGTTCACATACTTGATAAATCATACGTCATTCGTCGAAAAACCGAGAAAATTAATATTACAATCAATTGTTCGCTTCATCGCATCATTCCGTTTTAGAGCCAAATAATCACACTCCTGTATATATATATCCACACACGTACACCTACAAGATATCTACTCTGCTCTGTCTTGCTGTAAATAATACGCATCGATATGGATTACATCTCTGGTGCTCTGACAACACTAACGTCATCGCTCACGATCGTTCACTGGAATCTTGGAATTGCTTGCACTCTACTATCCGTAATGCGCTAAAAACAAAAAAAGTAAGAAAAAAAAAAAAAAAAACAAAAGTAAAGAGCAGAAGGACAAATCATGAAAATAGAAAGGAAAGAGGCTACTTTCCGAATTGGAGAAGAGCCTTCTGCGATGTTTAATCGTGGCCATTGTCATCGTGTAACAACTCGGTTCGCTCAGTTTCGAAGGGAAACTTCCAATTCCTTCAAACGATCGCTCGTTCCAATATTCCCAGTTGCGCGCGACGACCAACGCATCGTATTGACTATGTCGGAGAAGATCTTCTAGATTAATGATTGATCTAGAATTTTTGAAGACGCCGTGCTTCTTCGAGGAACTTGCAACTTGGAAGACGCGGACGGTGACAATGGCGAGATCACGCGGAAGGCACTTTCTCCCGGAGAGCACGCTCCTCTCGCCGTACCACGCTACTACGTGTAATGTGTGTAACAAAAATCCAATTGAAAAGTATACATTTATACATATATATATATATACACATATATATATATATATATATATATATATATATATATATATAATATATAAATCTAACGAAAAGATGCAAAAAAGTAGAATGGGCGTGCGACGAGGATGCTGGGGTAGCACCTGCAAGCATAATTGCATTGGTACCAAAGTAAGATGTATACAAGTAAAAAATAAAATCGGATACAGAAAAAAAAAAAAAGAAAAAAGTTTGAGCACGGCTTGGTCGGGTGACGGTGCAAGTGTGCGCGAGACTAATCGAGAAATGGGCGCACGAATTCTCTTCCTCTCTCTGTCTCTCTCTCTCTCTCTCTCTCTCTCCTCACTTCTCTCTCTCTCTCTCTCTCTCGGCTCGGAAAAAAATACATACATGGTGTGGTAGATGTGGTGGTGTTAAAGAGTGAAAGAGAAAAAAAAAACATTTTCACCGAGGACGATCACGGGGACACACGTGATAATACGTGTGGCGGCTAGAGAGAGGACACTCTAGAGCGCAATCGGATGGGGCGCAACTGTGGGGTTGTTTCCTCGTGTCTCCCGTGTCTAACGCACACGTGTGTCCGATCTACTGCGTCCGAACGACTGACGTTCGAGCACGAAAACCCAAAAAAAAGTAACCCCTGTGTCTGGTTCTGCCGCCAGGTCAGTTGGCCGGCAGCGGCGCGTCCGATGAGTTTCGATGCGAGCCTTGCAACAAAATCCTCACCTCCCTAACGCGGTTGAGGCGGCACATACAGAACGTGCACACCAGGCCCAGCAAGGAACCGATCTGTAACATCTGCAAGCGGGTTTACTCGAGCCTGAACAGCCTGCGGAACCACAAGAGCATCTATCATCGGCAACACAGCAAGAACGAGCAGCAACGGAAGGAGATGGAACAGATGCGCGAACGGGAGAGAGAGCAGAGAGAACACTCGGACAGAGTTGCCTCTCAGCAACAGCAACAGCAACAGCAGCAACAACAACAACAACAGCAACAGGATCAGCAACAGTCGCGATTGGGATAAACGAAGAAAACCAGAAGGATCCATGAGAACTTTGGACTTCTGGATATTTCTGTCTCTCTCTCTCTCTCTCTCTCTCTCTCTGTCTCTCTCTCTTTCTTTCTCTCTCTCTCTCTCTCTCTTTCTCTTTGTATTATACTTTGAGAAATTTAGGGATCGAAAACGGTGCCAGTGTTTCATGTGTTGCGGCGATCAGTAGAGTTTAAATATTCGTCGGCTAGTGTACTTGCGTACACATACACATGCGTGCGCGCACACACACACACACGCAGACACACGTCGTGAGCGATTATAGAATCTCCTTTGTGTTAGATTATCAGTTTCACACGGCAGTGTTGAATAATTAGATGCGTTGTCTCGTTTATTTCGTTCGAGATACATACATACGTTAGAGTATGAATACAGTGAAGTGTCAGAGGTGCAACTACTCAAGGAACGTAGAAGTCTCTCGTGTTCGTGAATTGAATAAAGTGGCGATTTTAATTTTCAAACGCGAATTTCATCCGTCTCAAGGACCTCTAAGTGTTTCTGAATTGCTTTTACAGTCCTTGGTCACTGAATCACTCTCTTACGTTGCAATATCCACAATCCTCCCTCTTCATCATTTCACTATGCTCGTAGACTCACCTGCGACAGGATGTCAAACTTTTTCTCCCCCCATACGTTCTCTCAACGCTATCGCTCGGATCATTGGCTCGCCATTTGTCTCTCCGGCACGTTCGGGGAAGAAACAACACGTGTAACTGTTCGTCTTTGAATTCGGGTCGCGGGGAAGGATCATGTGATACTGTAGGCGATACTGTTATTGTAGGTTTCTCGTATTTTTATTCGAGCGGACGAATATTGAACGAAACTTGAGAAGAAGAAAGCGCGAGGTGCAGAAAGGCGTGAAAAACAAAGAGCTAGAGTACGAGACGGTGTACTGAAACGCGCGGAAAGTTTAATTTTTCTACTATGGTTACAAAGATATATATTATACATATGTATTGCATTGAGATGTACATAAATAGGTAGGTTAGGTGCTCGATTCGAGCAAAACAATTTGGAACGTCCGGACTCTTGTACATTCGCGAATAGAACTCTCTCGCTTGCTTCGATCTTTCTTTGTTTGATCGTTCCGTTTCGCGAAAAGGAGATGGAAAGAGAAAATATAAAATGTTCCTTTTTAATCGTTTATTATTTTTTTTTTTTTTTATATACATGTATCACTTTTGTATAATTTATGAATGGTGGTTATCGGGGTTAATCGTTTACGAGGAATGTCGTAGTACAAAAAGAATGAAGAATAATACGTGGAAATAAACTGTAGAAGTTGATATAACGTAGGACAACTTTCGCACGGCGGATGCTGGGTCCATTTGGACCCGTTGAAGGAAATTGCAATTTACGTTTATGGAAAATAAACTTTTAACCCTGCTACGTTCTTTCGACCATTTTCCAATCGCTTTCACGGTAAAAGACTTTCCCGAGTTTCGACATAATCTGAAAACATGCTCAATAGGAACACATGAGAATAACTGATTGGTTTCGAGCAAAGATTTTACATTCCAGTACTTTTGCAGTCGAATATATAAATTCGAAACTTACCCTACTACGTTTCAATCGTTTTTATAATAATTACTCGAATTACGTCTTCTTACTCTTTATTATGCGTGTAACGTCAAGGTTTACTCTTTTAAAATTACATATTTTCTTGAAACATAAATTCTACGAAAAGGATTACGAATCATCGATTAAGGAAACACGAAAGGGTTGCAAATTCTTTTTAATTTCTAAACCGAAAGCGAGATTAAAATGTTGAAATTCGGGGGATCACGACATAATTAAATAATCTTGTCGCTCTATAAATGGATTCTTACGTTCTGTATATAAAAGTAGACAAAAAGAAAGTTGATGACAACAACAACTACACACAATAATAGTAATTACGAGGAAAAACCAATGGCCAATTTATAATCCATTGTAATTCGTTTTCACTCGTTACAATACAATTGCAACAGAATACAATAAGATCGCAGATATTTTACCGAATACTACAAACATTTGTTACAAGTACAAGCGGGTCTGAGCTGACCCAGAATTCGCCAGGTGTATCTTAAACGATCGCTCGTTAGACGTTTTTCGCTCGTTGAACGTGCGAAACGTCTGACGAGGTACGTATATTATATATATATACTGACGCGGCGGTTGCCCGTCTTCTTTTCATCCTGCTTCTGTCTTTCTCTTTCTTTCTCTCTCTTTCTCTCTGTTTCTCTCTTCCCCGTTCCCATCTCAGGCAATCTCTTCTTCGTGAACGAGAAGGAACTGGTCGAGAACAGCAACGAACGACCTTGCTCGCTTTGCTCCGTTCGCACGCGATTCTTACCTTGTCTCCTTTGCGCAAGGAGCCGACGAATGGAAACGCGGCCTGGAGGTCGTATCTTAAAGCGCAGCCAAAGGAAAGTTACTTAACATACCGTTCTTACGGGATATGGTGCAATGAAAATACCGAGACGCTTCTTTCTCTTCGTCCTCCTCTTATCGTTTGAACGTGTGCGTGTTTTTCTTTTTCTTGTTTCTTTTTTTTTTTTTTTTCTTTTTCGTATCGACATCGTATCGAATTAGTTTGGCCACGGTTTAATATTAATCCTGCCGTTTGTGCTTCGGTGCGCAAAACGTTTTAACTAAACGCGTGATCGCTGTGAACGGAGCGCGCTGTTGACGAGTGTAATTTATCATAGTTGTTGGCTGTTTTATAATTTATATATGCACTGCAGCTGAAAAGTTTGGAGCATCCTTTATTTTTCGGGCGAAACAAACTTTTTCGCATGTTGTATTTTTTTTTTTTTTTTGTGAGGAAGGGGAAACAAGAATACTGTAATTGTAACTTCTTTTTTTTAATATAATTAATTGTTTAGAAATCGTTGCCTGTTTTGAAGTTTCGAAGCGTGCTCTAAATTCTTTTGAACAGGACTCTGTATAGATTATTCTTCGTACAATTTCCAAACACGTGTTATATTCTTGTTCAACAGTTTGGAGCACCATTTACTTTTTAAATGATTTCTGATTATTTCGTAATATTATGTAGATACAATTAATTACGATATAAAGATATTACTCGAAAATATTGATATCGAAATCCTAACATGTTCCGAACTTTTGAACAGAAGTGTATATATACATCCGCTTTTCGGAGCGAAAGGGTTAATTCCTCATTTATTTTACGTTCGAGACGCTATCTCATCGATGAGATTCATCATCCTTGTCGTTTCTTCTCTTCTCTTTTCTGAATATTCTTAAAGTATTTTTATTACCATCTGTGACTGTCTATTTTTCACCTGTAGTTACCTCTCGTTACTTTTGCGACTGCGATACCGAGATAAGAAATTGTGATAGTCGGTCGCGTTCCTTATACACATCCGCTCTCAAGGAGTCGAAGCTGACGCAGAAAGCATCGGCTTCGATCCTCGATAAAATAATCCTCGACGAGGGGAGAGGAGAGCGTCGTTGACTGTACGTACAATGTACATAATAAATTCCGTTCAAAATAGACGCGGTTAGAGAGAGAGAGAGCGCGCGCGCGTGTACGTGCGTACGTATCCATGTAAATAAGAAAGTCTTTTATATCTGAATTTATCGATACGAACGTACATAATTACATGGAATACATACTTGCGTAACGTTATATAAATACGTACCGACACACGCGCACATAACACGATATATCGGTTTCTCTTCTCTTTTTAATATCACGTTATTGTTACTTCTCCTTGCGTACATTTTTTTTTTTCCGCCCCTCTCTTAATTATTATTGTTCTTTGTTATCGGGCTTTCGGGGATAGCGTGTATAGAGTCGAACACAGTACTCGCGCACGTATCATCGTTCTCTGGCAATCGTAACTATGATTCAATCAGATTCCCTACGTCGACGTATTCGTCTGTTATCTTTTAAATTGCGTTATGATAACGAACGACCATTATTATTATTATTATTATTTTTATTATTACTATTACTATTACTATTATTATTATTACTATTATTTTTATTATTACTATTACTATTATTATTATTGTCATCATTATTATTATATTCGATATTATTCTTATTCGCACATGAATTATTTATACATGTTGTATGTGAATAAAATGTTTCTTTCTTTTGTACGCTGAGAGAGAGCGGCCCACTAAATGTTATTTCGCATCACGTATCAAACGGAGAAAGGTGCACGCGGGTTAACGTCGTGTCTGTCCGCCGCTCGTTAACCTTCGGCCGGTTATTATGCAACCCCGGCTGCGTCTTTTTTTTTTCTTTTCCCTTTTTTCTTTTTCCTTTTTTTTTTTTTTTTTTTTTTTTTTTTTTTGCATTTTCTTTTCTCTCCCGTTCCCATTACCGCGCTCCGCACCGCGTTCTGTTTTGGCCGCGTTACACCTCGTTGCCCTGCGTGCGCTTCCGGCCGACCCATATATATATATATATATATATATATGTATGTATATATATATTTATATACACACACACGCATACCCCACCGTTACCTACCTACGTGCAAAGCCTCGGAGAGACCCTGTGACACGTATACTCGCCGCCGGGAGATGCCTCGTGTCCGTTCCCCGAGTCAATGGGTACGCGTTCATGCTCCACAGCACCGAGGGTCAGGCTCGTCGTTGAATACGCCGTTATGTGCCAGCCCCGAGGACGCGCGCCCGGTTTCTCTCCACCGCCCCCGCGTCTGCGTCACCTTTAAGTACTTCTCTTCGTTCTTTGCTCCTAGGGAATGAACGAACA